CTCTGCAAAAAATTTCCATTTCATGAGTTGTACCATCCTTTCCAATGATGCATCATGAACTCCTTTCTCCCACCCCATCCCATGCCTTAGTAAATTATACCTGGAAGTAGCAAAGATTTAAAAATGTTGTCACTCTGAAGTCAACTAAGTTCTTCAAATTTAGCTAGGCTGGATTTCAAATGACAAGCATATTGTTAATGACTGGGCCCATACTTAACATTTTTCCACTTGATAAAGGTTTAATTATAACCTGTATCCAAATGACTCTCATGTCTATGTATCCATTCCCAGTCTTTCCCCTGGCCTTTAGTACTGCATCACCAACTGCCGATTGGTCATTTCAAAAAAACATCTGAGAAATAGCTCAAACTCAACATGCTCTGTTTCTTAGAATCCTTAGGATCCTAAACACCACCTTCTTGCATGAAACCAGTCCCAGTTCCCAAAGCTGCTCGTGATCTCCCTACCCTTATACTGTATTCATTTTTGTATAATTTGCTTATGAATATATGTACACGTGGTCTTGCCTGATGGGATGTAAGCTCCATGAAGGCAGGGACTAGTTTTATTTCATCTTCTTAATCTTAAGCATGCAGTTAGTCCTTAATAAATGCTTGCTGATTGATTGGGAAAATCCTGGAAGTGGGAGAGGGACTGAGAGAAGATTGTAGAATGTCCTTCTGAAAGGTAGTTTCTTGTTTTTGAGACAGAGTTTAGGCATGACCTCTGCCATCCACACAAGTGGATGGACTAGAGATGTGAACTCTTGTGGCACCTTCCATATTCCCAAGAGTCCAAAATAGTGGGGTTGATTCAGAGACTAAACTAACTGCCCATACAGCAACAAAGTCAGGGAATCCATTCAAATTACTTCTTGCTTTCTTCTTACTCCAAGGAGATGGGCTTACAGTAGGAGGACTTGTCATTTAACTTCTGTAAAAGGGCTCAACAGATTCATTCCCCCTCTGTCTCATATATGGGCAAAGCAGAGGCTTCCCCCCCTGGCCATAGGCTTTCTGTGAGGCCCTGCTTTCCATTAGCTCAACTCAATTCCCCGTTTTCATAAACACACTGGACAGGTACCTCTAGAGCTTAGAGAGAAATGCTCCAAATCATAGTAATTGCCTGTCAAGACTCTTTATACTGGGATGTTAATGGAGAATAAGGAGACTCTAGTTCCTTGTTCTCTTTACTGCTTCTCATTTTCAGTTCTTCTTAACTTATTTCAAGGATTCAAGAGAGTCTTTCTTAAACAAAGCAAATAGTTCAGTTGGCAGTTAATTGAGATTGAGTGCTGAAGAATGCCTCCCTTTCCTTACCCCATTCTCAAATGCATTCCCAGCTTCTTTTCCACATTCTACCGTTCTATCCCAACCCTGAGACACCTGGTTCTGATGCCTCAAGATTCTGAGTATCTACTTCACACAAACACCACCCTGGTTCAGGCCTTCATTGCCTCTTGCCCATACTTTTGCAGTGCCCTCCTAATTGGTCTCCCCTCCTCAAGTTAATCCTCCATATTGCTGCCAAAATGATCTTCCTTCAAGATAATGCCCAAGAACCACATTCTACATAGATCTTTGCTCAACTGAGAGGTAGCATAATGTAATGAAATACAATGTTGGACTTGGAGTCAAAAAGATCTGGGTTCAAATGCCACTTTGGACACTTAAAAGCTTGGAGAAGTGCCTCAGTATCCTCATCTGCGCAAAAAGATTGGATTTGATGACTTCTAAGGTTCCCCTCTCATTCTAAAGCTATGATTCCCCCCCAAGTACTAGTGCCTTCCTTCTCTCAACTACCTCCTATACTTAAATATGTACATGTTGTCTCCTGTGATCCTTAAGAGCAGGGTTTGTTTTATTTTTGTCTTTGTATCTCTAGCAAAGTGCTTGGCACATAGTAGGTGCTTAATAAGTGCTTATTAATTGACTGTTTGAATTATCAAAGCAAGATGAAATTACCTTCTGAGCATTAAATATCTGGATATTCTATTGGAAAATTGTTAATTTTATATGTGGGGACTCAATAAATTAATCAGAATATTTGATGAGAATATCCTATTTCCTGATCATTTTACAGCCACAGGAGTTTATGGTCTAGAGGGCAATGAACAAGGTACTTCATACATAGCTGCCCTCCTGAGAAGTTGTGGGTAAAGTGTGGGTAAAATGAATCTCTACAAATCAAAACCTATTTAAGCTGCCCTACTAAAGGAACCCAAGCCACAAATCATTCTATAATGTAAATAATCCCCTACCTTTTTTTATGTTGTAGTATGGATATTTTTTCCCCAGAAGTAAGGTATTCATACTCTCTTCCTCTCCCCAGAATACAAGCTTTCTTTATAAGGGATGACCCAGAGATGACAAATAACTTTTTATAGCTCTAGGGACAGATGGATAGATGGAGGGATGGATGAAAGGACAGATAGGTAGATAAAGCCTTTGTTATAAGCATGTATTATGCACCAGGCACTATGCTAAGTGCTGAGGATACAAAAGCAAGCAAAATGGTGTCTGTCCTCAAGGAGTTCACATTTATTTTTTTAGGCACTTGGGGTTAAGTGACTTGCCCAGAGTCACACAGCTAGTAAGTGTCAAGTGTTTGGCCTGAGGCTGGATTTGAACTCAGGTCCTCCTGACTCCAGGGCCAGTGCTTTATCTACTGCTCAGGAATTCACATTCTAAAAAAGAAAGAGAACACATGTAGGGAAATAAAAGGGAAGAAGGGCACCTTGGGGCAATTAAATGAATCTCAATGATTTCAAGACGATGAAGTATCTTCCTGTTAGAAAGACATACATGCTTTATGAGCTTGATTTAATTAAAAATATGAAATCTCAAATGTGTAAAGTTCTCAACTTCACACAAGTGAAAAAGTGTCCAGAAGCTTCATTTGTTATAAACCACCAGCACCGTTGTTAGAAGAAAGCCCAGCCAACTAGCGTTCATGCAAAAACTTTCTGTTGGGTTTTGTTAATTTGTAGAATTACTAATTCTAATGATTTTCCAATTATTTCAGAAGTTTCACAAAGATGCCAGTATCAGTTGCACGGCTATCTTTATCAAGATGTCTGGTTGCTTTGGACTGCTAGAACCAGTGATTAATGCAATTACCATATTCCTGCCATTATACCATTTGGTTTCCCTACTTACCACTTCCCTCTCTGTCTGCATTATACAGTGTACTAATGAGGCCATAGGTGGCTCAATGAATAGAGAGAGCAAAAGGCCTGGAGTCAGGAAGATCTGAGTTCAAATTTAGCCTCAGAAACTTACTGAATGTTTAACACAGGGCAAACCACTTAACCAGTGCAGCTAGGTGGAGCAGTGGATAGAATACTGGGCCTGGAGTCAGGAAGACCTGAGTTCAAATTCAGCCTCAGATACTTACTACCTGTGTGACCCCAGGCAAGTCATTTAACCCTGTTTGTCTCAGTTTCCTCATCTGTAAAATGTGCTGGAGAAGGAAATGGCAAATCACTCCAATGTCTTTGCCAAGAAAACCCCAAAAGGAGTCATAAAGGGTCAGAAATGATTGAAACAACTGAATAACAACAAAACAAAGTCACTTAACTGCTGTTTACCTCAATTTCCTCAACTATAAATAGTATATAATAGCATTTACCACACAGGGTTGTTGTAAGGATAAAACGGCATAATAACATGTGAAAAGTACTTAGCACAATGTCTGGTATATAGTAGGCACTTAATAAATTCTTATTTCTTTCCTTCTATTCTTCCTTTCTTCCTTACTTACTTGGAAAGGGAGACAGAGCAGCCTAGAAGAATGTGCTGTGATTGAACTGGTATTTGTCTTCTCTCTGGGAGCTGTCACCCAGGCCTTGATTTAGACCTCTGGCACATGGCCCTGACTTTCCGAACAGCACCCTGCTTCTACTATTATCAACACTGATTCTCATTCATCCATTTCCAAAAGAATACAAACAACACTGAAGGACCTCTCCTGTCTTCCCTTCCTAAGCTCATTTTAAGCTCATTTTATTTATACTTCTTCTTTCCTTTCTTTTTCTTTCTTCCACTATATTCCTCCTGAGCCAGAGATGGAGAACCTTTGGCCTTGACATGTCTAAGTCCTTGGGTGCAGCTGAATCTAAGTTTTACAGAACAAATCCATCTGTTAAGGGGATTTGTTCGGTGAAGTTTGGATTCAGTCAAAGGGCTGCACTTGAGGACCTAGAGGGCCACATTTGGCCTTGAGGCTGCAGGTTCCCCACCCCTGCTTCCTGACTCCCAGACCTCCACCCTGAAAAAGAAAAATCCTTGAAACAGAAGATGAGAAGCTAGGAACAATTAGAGTAGAGGATGGGGTGAGGAAAAATTGTTTTCAATTTTACCTTTTCCAAATTCTGCTTGCTTCTCACTCTCCTTTTTAGTTTTCAAATGCAAGGTAAATTGTGTTTTGGCAGTACCATGATCTAGCCAGTCCATGATTTTCTTTCCTCTCTCCCCATGCTGCTTCCATCCATCTCACCTGTTATTTTTATCAGGTGTTTGGCAGGATTCCCTAATTCTGTTCTATGTTCAGACCGTTCTTTCTATTGAAGCAACATCATTGACAGCGCACAGCCCAGTAAGATTCTCCTCCACATTCAGCCTTCACACATTTCTTGTTTCATTAACATTAAGAGATTGTTCTACATCTCTGAGTCGAATGCCAACCAACAAGATTTCCAAGCTTCTTCCCTGCAACAGCTCCCCAGTAGTAGTAATGACCTTGTAATTGCAGGTTTGCCTTTAAAGGCACACTCTGCTTAAGACGATATGAAGTTCCAGCCTGAAAACTAGAAGATGGTTGTAAAGCCACTTATTTATGCACTTTCTCCTTGTGGGGATGTCTAGTGACCCGCAAGATACTATTTTGCAGTACAAACTAGATAAATTTGCAGCATTTCAGAAATTCTGGGAGTAAGAACTTATATCCAAAGCTCCCCTCACCCCACTTTTTAAAGAAACAAATGTTTCATATGTACTTACCTGGAACAAAACTCCCCTGGACCACCTCCTTATATGCCCACCAGCCTTCATGGATTTTTGGTGAATTCTGTTGAGCTAAAAAATAAAATAGGGGAAAATTTCATTAAATAAATACCATGTCTTGGCTCCTAGAACAGAAAATAAGAATGCAAATCAGTTAGCTGTTTTCTATCCAGTTGGCAAGCTACAAAAAGCAGCAGCTTCCCCCAAATAGTCCCCTTCTAGATAGCAGGGATATCAGAGAGAGAGAGAGAGAGAGAGAGAGAGAGAGAGAGAGAGAGAGAGAGAGAGAGAGAGAGAGAGAGAGAGAGAGAGAGAGAGAGAGAGAGAGAGAGAGAGAGAGAGAGAGAGCGCGCGCGTGTGTGTGTTGTGTGTGTGTGTGTGTGTTTTAAAGGTGCTCAACTCATTTTTATCCCATTTTCCATATCACGTCCATTTTCCTTAGTAAATAAAAAAGCAGAAATTGACACTGGAAGACAGGAGAGGAAGAACAAATGAGAGAATGGGAAGAGAATTGATGAATGAGCAACAAATAAAAGAAACTAAGCCCATCCTAAGCAAATAGCATATTGAATGGTTTTCGACGTTTTTAGATTTGTGAGACCTAGGACTCTATTTTATGTAGATTATAAGAGACAGAATGTATCTCAGGGATCTTCTAGGATATCATATGTAAAGTAACTTCATCAAATTTATAACAGTATATAAATGTTATTATAGTTAACAATAATCATATTATTACTCTTATTGCAATAATAATAGAAGTAACAATAATATTGTCAAATATAATTATTGCTATTGCCATTATTATGACAATAATAATTAAGTATAATATTATTACTATTATGATGACAATTATTATTGCTAATAATAATGATTACTATTATTATATCAATTTGTATTGTGTAATAGTATATTGTTACTATTATAACTAATCATTAATGTTAAATAAAATAATTATCATTGTTACAATTACAATAGCAATAACAATTATTGTTATAAATATATACTTATATATTATTTCTATATCATATATTACTATTATACTGATAGTAATAATAATAATAAAGTTATTATCATCCAGTTCTTTTTTTCTGAAGTTGCAACACAACTTCATACCATATAATACAACACAAAAAATATGTAGGCAACACTTGCTATATACCATAACGTTCTTTGCTAGTTGTTGACAATTCTGAAACAGTCTTTGTCTTCAAAAAGCTTATATTTTTTTCATAAAGATACAATGTGTTGAGTAAACACAAAAGAAGTTCAAGAGAGAGAGAGAGAGAACACCAATAATGGACAGATTAAGAAAACCCTTGGGAAGGAGGTGGCCCCATAGCTGTGCTTTCAAGGGAACTCAGGATGTGTTGTGGTGGAGGGGAGGAGGAAATACATTCCAGACTTGTGGAACTAATTAATGCAAAGGCATAAAGACAAAGGATGGAATATTATCTACTGGGAACATTTAGCAGGCCAGTACGGCTGGATCACAGACTTGGAACTTGAAAGGACCTTCATTTCACAAATAAACTGAGTCCCAGAGAAGTGAAGTGACTTGTTTAAGGTCACATGGCTAGCAAATGGCAGGGATCAAATTCCAAACTAGGTCCCTAGACTCCAAAGCCAACCTCCCATGAATAGTAAATAGAAGAAGAGGGACCTGGGCTGTCCTGATCAACATAACTAACCAAAAAAGCCTCTGTACTAAAAGTGGTTAAAACACTTTCATCTCTCTTCAATATTCCTCAATTGCTTTTTGAGCAATTGCATGTATTCCAAAGTGGAATTATGTAAGATGATTGCAAATGGCTGTGTGTAAGAAAATCAGATCAGAGCACCACCTATTTATAAGTGATCAGAACTGAGGAGTTTCAGGAAAGCTTCCTTAATATGCCTTGTAGAGGACCAGATTCAGCTCTAGAATCAACTGACTTAAGCAGTACCTACAAAATGTCCAACCAATAACAAAGCATTATAGCAGCACACTGGATTTGAAGAAAAGGAAGGCATTTTATTGAGTACGGTTTAGGATGCTTTATTTTACTACAAGAACATCTGATTCTGTTCCCTTCAAAAACAAAAACAAAAACCCAAACAGGATTGGCCTATTGAGGATGAACTCTACTTAAAGTTTTTTAATTCTGCTTCTATTATTTCACTGGAGTGGGGAAGCTTTCTCCATGAATACAGATCTAAAGCTTCTTTGCAACCTAGAGTCTTAGATAATTGTCTAAGGCAGAGGGGGACACATGTGGCCCACAACACTTCTGCATGTGCCTGAAGCAGATTAAAATGCAATTGGGGAATATTTAGCAAAATGAATTAAAAGATAATAAAATATAGATGATGGTATATTTTTAAAACTAAGCAAATATGTGGCTGCAAGAATTTTTATGAACTTGATTAGTTTCTACTTGAGTTTGACACCATTCAGCACTTCTTAGACTGTGAGGTCTAGACCCCACAGTCTAAGAAGTGCTGAAGGGGTCCCAAATGGAAAAACTTTAAGAAGTCCTAGACTTGGGGCGTCTAGGTAACGCAGTGGGTAGAGCACCAGTCCTGGACTCAGGAGGACCTGAGTTCAAATTCGACCTCAGACACAAAACACTCACTAGTTGTGTGACCCTGGGCAAGTCACTGAACCCCTTTGCCTAGCCAAAAAAAAAAAAAGTCCTAGACTCTAAGTTACTGAGAAGTTAAGTGACTTGCTCAGGGTCACTCAAAACATGTGTCAGAAGAGCAGCTAAGTGGCACAGTGGATAGAGCACTGGCCCTGGAGTCAGAAGGACCTGAGTTCAAATCCGAACTTAGATGATTACCAGCTATATGACCCTGGACAAGTCATTTAAGTCCAATTGCCTCCCCCCACCAAAAAAAAATTTGTCAAAGCCAGGAGTTAAATCTAGGTTTTCCTGACTCTAAGGCTACCTTGCTATTCCCTTTTCCATGCTTCTTCTACTGCTTAAAGTTATGTTACTTTCAAAGAAGCTAATTTTGTTTCTCCTCTCCTAAAAATTACCTTGTATGTAGTTCACACATATTTTGCATCTACTTACATGTGTACATTCTGTTTTCCCCTAAGAGAATGTAAACTTTCTAAGCAGAGACTATTTCATTTTTATTTTTGTGTCCCCAGAGCCTAGCATAGCACATGGCACATAGTAGGTAATAAATAAGTGCTCACTGATTGATTGATGTAAGACTATAAATTGCAGAGAAGTAAGCAATCTGCATTGAGAGAGAGGATTCCCTACATTAATGAAATCAAAGGTATAAAGAAATTAAATTAAAATAAAAACAGGTATTTAAAAGGCATTCTAAAAGTAATTGAATTAATGAAAGAAAACTGAAAGAGCTAAAAGAAGAAAATAATTTAAAAAGGAGCTCACTTAAAAGAGGTCTAGAAATCTCAGGTTTTCAGAAAGTCTCTTTATGATTTAAATAACTCTCTTCCAGATCATGAATTTTTGTCTTTGTGTTATTTACATTTGGTTTAGAATTACTGATAATATGATAGGGAATTTCTCAAAACCAACAAGAAAGAGCATTGTGCTCTGTTTCTTTTTAGAAGATGCATGACTAGCACATGGGGGAAATATTATGCTGACAATGAAAGTGGCCATCAGTGGCAGATTAAAGCGCATACACAGCAACAACCCTTCTCTGGACAGTAAAGAAAACATATTTCAGTTTTATGTTTCTCATATTATTGTGGTCATGTGAGTATCAAAACAAATACAAGAAATGTTAGGGTTGGGAGAGACTTTGGAGATTACCTAATCCAACACTGTTATTTTACAAGTAAGGAAACTTGAAGTAGAGAAAGCCCAGAGAGGTGAAAGAGCCACCCAGGCAGTGGTAAACTAGAATCCAGGTTTCCTAGGACTCCCAGCCCAGTGACTGTTTAGCATTTTATACCACACAGATCACTGCAGAACCCAAAGTGGTTCATTTATTTTACCAGGCTTTACAATAAATGGTGAGGAAGGAAAGATCTACTTAGTGCTAAGAGATTTGGGTTTAGCTATTCTAAGTCTTATCTTCTCAAACTACCCATGCTACACCCTCTAAGATAGGATCTGGTCTCATACTTTTATGAGAATTCAAATGACCAAGCTCTTTTACCTATCAAAAGTCCTATACAACACCTCTCCTCTACTCCCTTTCTTCTTTTGCTTAAGCCTGTGATAAAGATGTAGGCTTTCACATGACAATGTCCAACCCTTCTATATGTACTTTTGATTTCAGCCACACTGTTTTCTCCAGCTTATTAACTCCAACATCATAATCTTTCTTGATATGGCTACTAAGGTCCCTTCCAAAGCCATTTGATCCAAGAAAACTATACAAAATGACTAAAACAAGGTAAATGGAAAGAACCATATCAACAAAATAAATAAATTAAAGTGAATATAGCAAAATTATAAAGCTCAACCATGACTTGAATAAACAGATATGAAAGAACACCCTCAACCCACCCCTTTATGGGGTGAGAGGTCCATGTATGTTACACATTGCAAATATTTTTAGACTTTTTCAAAACATTGACTAACTGTGCTGATTTTTTCCTCTTTTTTTCCCTTTTTTTTGGCTAGGCTATGGGGTTAAGTGACTTGCCCAGGGTTATATAGCTAGTAAGTGTTATGTGTCTGAGGCAGGATTTGAACTCAGATCCTCCTGAATCCAGGGCCAGTGCTCTATCCACTGTGCCACCTCGCTGCCCCTTTTCTTTTGTTTTTAAAAATGTTGTTTGGTATATGAGATGGCTCTCTCACAGGGATAGACAGAGGAATATTGGAGAAAACTGATGATATAAAAAAATCGATAAAAAATTACTAAAAATAAATTTAAATGTAAAAGTAACTCAATTTAGAAACAAGCAGGCAGCATATTCTAATGGAAAGAACATCGGACTAAGAATAAGGAGGTCATTCAATCACAGAATGTTAGCGTTCATCTAGGGACGTCTCTTTCTAAAACAGGAATCCCTTTATACCACTCTTGGTAAGTGATATTTGCTCAAAGACCTCCAGTGATAGGTAGGGCAAGCATACTTACTGTAGGACTTT